ATGGATGGATGGATGGATGGATGGATGGATGGATGGATGGATGGATGCCTTTGAGTTAACTTAGAAGCTTCAGGTTTGGTGTACAAGAGCACAAGATTTTGAATTGATCAAGTATCACCAACGATTTAAGTTTCAAGGTATGCAGCACAATTATGACTATTATCCAACACATTTGAACATATGAAGCTTCAAACATCTGAAGATGGAGAATGAGTAATGGTACTGATCAAAAATCAACTATTTGTACATACAAGGTTTTGTTTGGAAACCAAGATCTCCAAACATCAAGTAAGTACTTTATCTGTTGTTCTTTTCTACTGGAGTACAACTGTGACATAACCAGTGACTCTGACTTCTAAAAATGTCAACTAAGACAAAAAGAAGAAGGCATTAAGTGAAAAAAAAATAAAGCTTGTGTTTGACTTTTTCAGGTCACATTCTGTGATTCAAAGATAATGGACAAAATATAGTGTCAGTCACTTCTGTAAAATGCTTAGGAAGCAGTCTTAAAATGTTGTTCTACATTAGGATTTTTACATAAATATTAAACCAAAATAGATCCTGTTTCCCAGAAACAGAACTAATATTTACTACAAATCGTAGATAAATTCAATCTTAAAATGGAAAATCTTTTGTTCTTTAGTTTAATCTTTAGTTGTTCTTTAGTGAGCAACTGGAAATGCATGCACTCTGTTCACAGTACTGATGCCCATTATTATTCATACACTATTTAATTAGTTATTTCATACTGTTGAGATGTTTATAACCTCAAATCCACCTTTTTATTCTTCATGGGAATACACAAATAAATAGAGTTGTACTCACTGACTGAATGTCCTGTCCATGAGGTCAGTGTTGTTGATTTTGACAATGCACTCATCCTCGTGAAACAAGCCTTCCTTTCTTGAACGGCTCACCTCTTCAACGTCACGTATGTACAGACCAAGAGATCTGTTAGAATAGAATAAATTATTGACCCTAATATTTTCTTATTACATAAGTATATTTTTTGTTTTCAATGTACCAATAAGAGTTTTGTATGTAAAGAATAAAAAAAAAAAAAAAAAAATCTAAGGAAGATGTTAAAGACCCACATCTTAAAAAAAGTAAACACTTACACTTGTTTTATTATTTTATCATATGACCCACAAAACTGACATGCAGGTTAACATACTCCACACTAAGAAAAAAAAATACAACAAAACAAAAAGTCCTACAAAGACAGATGTCATTGTGGTTTTACATTTAAAAAATATCACATAAAGTTGGATATAAATCATAATATTGCCAACTAGTAGATGGGATCACCAAGAACACACAAAGACAATAGATAATTGGTTCATAGTGAAAGAGGATGAAATACATGTTATAAAAAGACCATTGTAAAGGTATTCAAATTTGCAGAGCCAGTTAAAATGATAAAATACAAAAAAAAAAAAAAAACTGTTGGAAAATTGTTGTAGTGGGGGGTAATCACAACTTGTCAATTTCTGCAAACTTGCAGATTTAAATTGGGCAAATGTACAATGAAAGGCACACTTGAGCAATATGTCTTTTAAATGTCTAGTTGAAAAGGGTACACAAAACACTTGAGCTGTTTAAGAATGAAACTAGGCTGAGAGGTAAAATTGCAGGCTAATATGGTAAACAATTCTTAAAACAGCACTTTGCTTTTCGTTGAAGTCGTCTTTCATCCATTTATGGTGACAACAAAAGATTAGCTGTTGTCCTATCTTTTTCCTGCTATGCTTCATTGTAGTCTTTATAGCACTAGAATGTATTTAGTGCTCACAAAGTTGGCATGTAGTGTTGCTGATAAAGCCAAAATTATACCTTATTTTTCTATTTTGGCATGACTACATGTGTGTTTGAAATCCTAACTCACCGTCCGCTCAGCGAGGAGCAGTATGGAACCACGTGGATCCCCAGCGGACTGTCTGCACCCTGGATCTCCACCACTCGGGTCAGGCTGCAGTACAAAAAAAAAAGTTACAACCGGGAAATAATATAGTATGCTAAAACATTGTTTCACTAAAAATGAATTGCCTTTCGACTCTGCAAAGTTGCTTGAAAGCACAAGCAGCTGTGCAAGGAATAGAAAACCCAGGTGACAATCTGAAATATAATAAAATACATTATGCAATATCAAAACTGCATGCTAACCTGGCAGGATGATGAGATGTTTTTTTTTTTTTTATTAATTTCTGTAACACATTGTGATCATCCTCCCAGGTCACCCTTATTGATGTCTTTGTATATCACTTTTTACAAGTTTACAGGTGTTTTCAGGTCTCTCTTGTAAATAAGTCATCAATGCTCAATGAGACTAACCTGTATAAATAAAAGTTGAATGAATTTAGGCACAGTCTGTTAAGTCAAGTAAAGACTGGTAGAACCATTCTCAAAACTTGTCTCTTGAGAAAAAGTTAAGAAAACGGTTACACTTAACTGACACATGATGTTTCATGAATGCAAAGACTTTGCCAAAAGTATGCTTTTGTGAAGGTCTTAATCCATGCCTGTGAACATGGGCCTTTGAGAAGGGACTGCCAACACTCCATTCAAAACTAATAAAAGCCCCGACTACAGTGGATGTGTGCGTTTAAAAAGTGTTTTGGTGCCTTTCGTCTCCTCGCTACTTTGAATCTCTTAACGTCTCTTGCTAGTTTGGATAATTTGAGTCTGTCTCTGCTTTATATTCTGTGTTTTAATGTGTATGTGTGCTGAAGTCTTTGTTTGTTTGATTAGTTTATCTATCAGAGCACAGCCATTAATCCTCTCGTGACCTTCTCTCTGCTCCCTGTGTGCTGGAGTGTGTGTATTTCCAAGTGAGTTTGTCTGAACTATGTTTTGTGCTCTTTTCATTAAGTGTCTGTCTCGTTTTGTCTGTCTACTCGTTTTGTCTGCGTCTGTCTCTCTCTCTGTCTCTCTAGGCCATCCATCCACCCCTAAATCCCCACCAAGTGATAGCAGTGGTGATGTTGATAAACTCCACAGAGAGAGTTGCTGATGATTGTGGGTGGCAGGGAGGGAAAAATGCAAAGCCCAAAAACATGGTTTATTATTTGTCTCTGTCTTGCATAAGTTCACAAGCACATGCATGCATTGATTTATTCATTCACACAAAGATAATGTTGCTTCATTTCTACTCAGCAAATCTGAGTTTACCCACATGACACTGTGAACTGTGGTGAGAGAAAGGAGCAGGTGGAAGAGAACTTGGAGAGGTGAAAATGTGAATTTAAAAGAGGAATGAAAGGCAGCGGTAGTAAGACAGAGCCCGTGTGTGAATGAAAGGGAGGCCATTGGAACAGTGAGGCTACAAGGAGCATAGGTCACAAAGGTGCAGGACTTCAAGTACTTGGGGTCCACTGTCCAGGAAAATAGGAAGTGTGGTAAAGAGGTGAAAGAGAGAGTCCAGTCAGGATGGAGCGGATGAAGAATGGTTTCAGGAGGAATTTGTGACAAATAGGTGGCAGCAAAGGTCAAATGAAAGGTTTACAAGAGAGTAGTGAGACCAGCTACGTTATATGGTCTGGAGACAGTGGCACTGGCAAAAAGACAGGAGACAGAAGTGGCAGAAATTAAGATGTGTTGAGGTTCTCTTTGGTAGAGACAAGGATGGATAAGATTAGGAATGAGATCATAAAAGGTATAGCATAAGGTTGACCGATTGTGAGATAAAGTTAGAGAAGCCAGGATGAGATGGTTTGGACATGTCCTGAGGAGGGACAGTAGGTATATTGGTAGAAGGATGTTAGAGATACAGCTTCCAGAAAAAAGACAAAGAGGAAGGCCAAAAATGTGATAAATCAATGAAGTTAGAGGACACAGAGGTAGTATGAGATGGAGGAGGATGGCTCACTGTGGTGACCTCTGTAAAGGGAACAGCCAAAAGAAAAAGCGGAAACTTGAGTTTACCCTAACAATCTGAATTTGTCCAATCAAATACAGCGCAAGCGTAACCTAAATGCAATATATATGTTCTATTTAACTCTTTTGTTGTTGTTGTTGTTGAATAAGTTTGAACAGGCTAGATTGGTGGGTGCAAACCAACTGCCAACACTACTCCCTGAAAGTAACGTACACACGATCAAGTACATCCAAAATATATTTGTGTTTAATCATACAAGCATATTATGAACTAATGTGTACTTAAACTAAAACAACTATGGTATTCCCAGCATGAGTAGATGCCATATAAAGAACCACACTTTGAATATATAATTTATATTTTTCACGTTAGTTTATAAAGATGATTTCATTTTTATTATTATTTTTTTTATTATTATTATTGTTTTTTTTGTTTGTTTTTTTTTCCAGTTTATTTCATTCCAGAAAATGGTCTATAAGTCAGCCCTGGCATTTGGTTATAGTCCTATAATCTCAGGAGACTTCTAGACATGTTTTCAAAAATGTCCTTATTTATTTTTAATTGTTAAGATTAAGCTCACCCTTAGAAACAGTAGTAGTGCCAAGCTAGTGGCGCGCAATACATTTGCGCTAGCTAAAAAGTTACAAACGTAGCACTCCGCTTTTCTCACGCATACCCCCTCCCCCCCATCGGTCGACAACTGCCAGCACTAATGTAATGTAACACCACAGCGCAGACATGTCATCTCCACCCCCACCTCCGTCAACAAAAATCTACAGAGATGAGTGCCCTGCCAAGGCAAGTGACCTAGGGGAAACACTGGTATGGATGGATGGTATGTATGCATGTATGTATGTATGTATGTATGGACGGATGGACGGACGGATGGATGGAAAAGGTTATAATCATAGCCCCCAGGACATAACGTAGGAGTCTGACTAACTACACAAAAGCATAATAATATCTAGCACCTCAGTCACAGATACATCAGCGTGGTCATATTTTGCACGTTTTATGTTAACTACGTCAGTTTAGGTTTATACAATCTGTTCAAAAGCAAGGCCTCTACGGAGTGTTGGACATAAAAGTAGTTAGTAAAACTAAATGTTAACTAGATTACTAAACTAAAGGTTTAGTGCAGGGGACATCAATAATACTGATGAAAAGGAAAATAAAAGGTTAAAAATAAAGACACTTTGGAAGTGAAACAGTGAAATGAGGTAGAAAGGTCTGAGAAGAAAAAAAAAAAACACGCACCCCCTTTTTATATCCCTTCCTGTCGCTGTTCCTCTGATCTCTAACATTCCATCTACAACACACATGCAATTCAGATCAATTTGCATTTCTTTATTTTTTTTTCCTATCATTTTATTTCATGTGAGATGATTGACAGGCTGCATCAATGCAAAAAAATGAAGTGGGGTGAGACAAAAAAATGAGACAAAATGGGTGACTTGAGAAAAGAGAGAGACGGCAGCGCAATGAGTGAATAAGAGAGAAAAAGAGCCAACTGCACAGAGAGGAAGAGCAGGGCAGAGAGAAGCAAAGAGATGAAGAGAGCAGGTGTTCTCTTTATCCAGCTGCCACTTTACTGATCCTCGTATAAAAGACAAAGACTGAGGAGAAACAAAAAAGGAGGATGTGCATTACCAAACCACTCTCTTCACTTCAATGCATTTAACTCATCCTTATTCTCATTTATCAATCTTTTTTTATAGCTCCTAAAACAAAGGATCACAGACTTATGGAAGACAAACAATGCACACAACTAAATGCTAATTTAAAAAAATGCATAAGAACATTTTATAAGGCTGAGTAATCAAATGTGGAAGTAACAGTTATTTTATTTCTTTTTCAGTAATTAATGTACAACTATTTTGATGTGTCCTTAACAAAAAATAAAAGGGCAACACATAAGGAAGTTAAGCAGAAAATAAGAAACTGTTAGCATTAGCGCTAAAGACAGAGACAAAGGGTAAAAAAGCTAATTGTTTAGTATCAGTATAGCAACACAATAAAGCCTCTTAAACCAGGGAATTAATGGAATTATTAGGGTGCAAAACATTGAACTATAGGCACTCTTAAACCACAAAAATCCCTTTCACATCTAGTTTGTTTTGTGCATCTAGTGAAACTTACTTACCTGTTCACCTCCCACGGTTCTAAAGCACTTTCAATCTAGTGCCTTATTCACAAAGAAATTTAATATACTGGGAAATGCTATTTCAATAAACCAATTTAGAATAAATCTGTTTCCCATATAAAAAGGACAATCTGATTCATGTGTAATGAGTTTTTCGGGGTGCATGCGGAGTGGTTAAAATTATGATGAGCCATATTACTGTATTTATAGGTGTAGCTTCACATTTAAAGGCATACTCACACACAGAGGCAGCGCCACAGAGCGCACAGAAACATTCGCAGTAATCACAACTCATACGAGGCCTCACACACACACAACACACACATTCAACACATGCTTTGCTGTTCCAGTATTTATGGCTTTGCTTCTCTCCTCATTTTGGACTTTTTTTGCAATTTCAAGGATCGTTTCCCCAGCGACCACAAAAACCATTACATCACTTTTACATTACTCAGAGTTGTGATGGTTCGATGGTGAGTAGACTATGTGTTCATGAGAGGATATGTGCATGAAAAATAGATATTGGCACAAATGGGAGTTGATATCTGCTTTTACAATAACCATTTTTTTTTTTTTTTTGCTGCACTGTAATGTCAGGAACCATAACAGGGAATGGAACTGAAATAGTTTCTATTTAGTTAGCTTAGCAATTTATTTAAGTAATACTATACTCAGGTAAGTAAAATGTTTGATACAGAGGAAAAAGAAAAACAAAAAAAATGCAGTTCATAGCTTTCAAAGAAAATTGTTTTATGGGTCAGCTTCTATTAGTTTTCTATAGTTTCTCCTATTGCCACTCCTGTGGTCATTAACAATGATGCTGTCGAGGTGGTGCATCATTATAAATATTTGGGAACTGTTCTCGATGACAAACTGACCTTTGATGCACATCTGAATTCACTTTGTAAAATGGCCCAACAGAAAATGTATTTTTATCGGAAGCTCTGTGGTTTTAATGCTGATTCTACTTTTATGAGAATGTTTTATTCATGTTTTATTGAGTCTCTTTTAACTTTCAACTTCATCTGTTGGTTTGGACTTTTGACATGAAAAAAAACAGGAACAAACTCTCGGGGATTGCCAGGATGTGCAGCTAAACTGCTGACATAGCCCTACAGAACCTCACTGACCTACACAAGATGAGATCAGTGAACAAGGCCAGGCAGATTCTGGCAGATCCTGATCACCCACTCCATGGTGAGTTCAGGTTGCTTCCATCTGGACGCAGGTATCTGCTGCACAGATGTACGACAGACTGAAACACTCATGCATCCCTGTGGCAAGCAGGCTTCTCAATTAACAATGATGATTTCTAGTTTTATGTCTCAATGTCTTGTCTGGTATGGATATTGTGTGTGCCTACAGACTGTGAAACAAATTGCCCCTTGGGAATAATAAAGATTCTTGAACTTGAGCCAGTTGCATTTAGGTAAATACGGACAGGATAAATCAATTCTGGGCTGGGTGGGACTTTCTGGATCTTTAGTTAAAATTATTGTCTTCATTTTTGCCCGCCAACTAAAGAAAGCAATAAGTTGTCATGGTTAGAGGAAGACTAGACCTAAAAATGCAGACTCATACTTCACAAAACAACTTAAATCACGTGGCGTCTCTGGGCAGCACGTCTAATCCCCAAAATGTCCCCCGGGCGCTTTCAATAGCTGCCCACTGCACCACCTGGTGGTGGATGGGTTAAATGCAGAGACTAATTTCGCCATTGTATGGAAACATACAGTGCTGACATTGTGATGACATTATTATTATTATTATTATATTATTAAAGCGTTCATATTTCTAATCAAAAGGCTGGTGTGGCAACAAACAAAATAAAATAACAAATGGAAACTCAAGGAGCCACCGAAGAGGACTTGACAGGGCGTGAAGAATACAATGACAGACTGCTGAGTGGGAGAAAGATCAGAAATAGACTGGGCTGATGAGGACAGTAAAGACAAGTGACTAATTCTGACTGGAATCAGGTGGAAGTGGGTGGGGAAGGAACTGAGAAGCAGAAACTGACTAAGGAAAACGTGATGCTCGCACAAGGAAAAATCAAAAAGAACAGAACAAACACAAGGATCACAATACACAGAAGATGAAAAAATGTTAACCAAAAAGGAATACATGTAAAAAAAATTAAAAAAAAGACTACCAAAACATAACTCACGGGTCCTGACATTACTATCATCAGACAGAGCAGCATATTGATCAGTAAGCACTTTAAAATTTAAAATGTGCTCTTAGTTTGGTTTTAGTCACATTAAAAGCATGGTTATAATGTTTTTTTTTTTAACCATGTTGGTTATATGAGCACTTTTTTATGCAGCTATAACCAAACTGACATTTCGTTCCATCTAATACAAACTTTTAGGTTAATTTAGGTAATATAAACAATTACAAGTCCAGTTACCAGCTTCCATTAGTGCTGTGTCAAATAATGGACAAGTTGGGTATGAGCTATTAGGACAAAATATTTTTACCATATCATTTATTTATCTATTTAAATTTCTTCAGCAACAACAGTGATGTCTGTGATATACTGATTTGTTTTAAAAATGCAATTTTTTTTTTTTTTTTAAAAGTGCATTACTCACTACATGGTTTGTTGGTTGATTTCTGTGTTTAATTTGTAGGGGATGCTAACGTATGGTGGGATAAATTTTACATACACGTTTTGGGCAAACAAATGTTTGATTTTTCAAATGATTAAAAAAAGAGCACTTTGGTCTTTGCTCCAAGAATGTTTAAAAATACATTTAAAAAGTGTTCAACATGCAGCACATGCACACATTGCAGCATTATTGTTTACGTCTAAATAGATTCCCCACGAGCTTCTGGACTGCAGTATATGGTAAGAGGCTGATGTTCCTTAGAGTTCGAATGTGTGATCTGCTCCACAGAGTCAAAACAATCACAAAGATGCAAACAAAACAGCCAATCTAAGCAGTACTCATTAGTGTATGCACATGTCTTCCATGGTTACTTCTATCTGCAAGTAAAAATATCAAATGAAACTGCGTTTGGAGTTGTTTATTCTTGAAACTATGTGTGTGTGATCATATCGGGGGGTGGGGGGGGGAGCTTGTATGAGTGACCCTGACCTTGTTTTCACAGGCTTTTGTAGTGAGCTAATGATGGAGCTTTTTAACAGTAAATATATTTGCGCGAGCCTTGATCTAGATTAGAAAACAGCTTTAATGAAGAGAAAGTGGGACAGAAGCGGGCTCATAAAACCCGATGAACTTGTACGTAGACAAATATGCACAAAACAACCTTCTCTTTAGAAAAGACCACAAAACGTAACATTATTGTAATTTATCAGAATAAACAACTGGAACAGTGAATGAAAACATAATTATTAAAAATAAAGGAACTAATGGTTAGCTTACAGTCCAGAATGTTTAGTTTAGTTTATTTTATTTAGTTTACTTTGCTTTTTTTTGAATATGTTAAAAAAAAAAAAAAAAGCATGAAGCATAATGTCAAAACTTTTTGTTTTACATATTCAAGGGAGTGGGTAGAAGTATAAGCTTATCAAAATTCCCACTCCTTAACCCCTTACATAATCTTACATTCATTCCATGTATAATCCATACATACAGTATAACAACTAAACCCATATTTATCCATCAATATAGTATCTATTTAAGTTAACTATAGTAGATGAACAATCATTATTCCTTTAACTTCATAAAAAACTAAAGCATCAATAACAAATAACAAAAAAATAATAATAATTGAATAATATTATTATATATTATATCCAGAAATAATCATATGTTTATATGATAATTTGAACAGTTTTATGTTTGGACATTGTTTAAGTTCAATATTCAAATTATTCCACAGTTTGACTCCACTTACTGATACACAAAAGTTTTTTTCTAGTAGTTCTGATTTTGCATATTTTAACTGTGATTTCACCCTTAACGTATAAATTTGCTCCTTAATTTTAAACAGGTTTTGTTAGAGACAGAAATAATGGTTCTTGTAATTGACTTTTTTTTTGTAAACTCGATGGTAGTTAGAAAATTTGAATTCACAACTGTCATCAAATGCACAGTGGGTTTTTTTTTTTTGGGGGGGGGGGGTTGCAAAATTTTGTAAACATTACTGTTATAGTCTGTGAGCTTTTATATTTTTTATATAACTAGTTGTGTTAGTTTATTTTTGCTAATGTTGTTGTTTGCTGCAACTTGAGTAGGAGTGTAACGCAATTTCAATTTCTATGTATGTCCTGTACATATGCAGAATTGACAATAAAATCAATCAATCAATCAATCAATTTGTCGATATATAATGTAGGACCAAAGTTCATGCTCAATAATCCAGGTAATAATCCAACAATGTTCAGTCAGGTCATCTGGACGGTTTCTTTTTTGCTGAGACGTTTCGTCCTTCATCCGAACGACTTCATCAGTCCGAGGAGCCACCAACAAACTGAGTCCAACCACAAACAGCACACTCCCAAAGTGAAAAAAAAAATGCTGGTGCTAAAATGGCCTCCGGGGCCCACCCTCTTCCCCGTCAACTTATCTGAGGCTGTTGGCGGGCCCCGGAGACCATCTTATCACCAGCAAACTGGTTTTTTTGTGTGTTTTCCCCCCCACTATGGGAGTGTGCACTTTGTGGTTGGATTCAGTTTGTTGGTGGCTCCTCAGATTGAATAAGTCCTTTGGATGAAGGATGAAACATCTCAGCAAAAAAAGAAACCGTCCAGATGACTTCCCTGAACATTTTTATATATTGTAAGGTTTCTAAACCTGCAACGTTGACAGTGTAATAAAGAAACAAAAGTATTTTGGGGCTTAGATTATTTATTGTAATAATAAAGTGGTTTTGCTCTATTTTATTTAGGCAATGTTATTGCTCATCAAGCTTGTCTGCTCATTAAAGTTATAGTGTATACAAAAGTTTTGTTATCGTTGAACAACTGATGTCTACAGCACAAATGAGAGCAAGTAATCTGTTAATTTTGTTACGTCTGTCATGCCTGGGGCTCGATTAGGTTAGAGGAGACACAATGACATTGCCGTCATCAAATGATGTATTCAGGCATTCCAATTTATAATGGTGGCTGTTTATGTTTTAGTTTTTGAAATATACAGTTTGGGGGCTTCTAAATTGCAGTTTGTTTTTTGGGGGGTTTTTTAAGTTGCAAGGCTGAAAACAAAAATTGTAAACCACAAAATGCCACTTCCATGTGGATAATGGCTGAAATGCCCCATTGCTGTCTGTGTGATTTACGAAAGGATTGAGGCAACATGGGGGGTTCAAGTCAACCCACCTCTAAACCATGTGTGTGGCAACCACAAAGACAAAATGGTCAATATGTTATATCAAAGGGTAAGTTGGTATAAGAAACAAACATGTTGGGAAGGCTTTACAGCGGGAATCATCCTAACGTATTAAAAGGCTTTTTTTATATACTTTGGTAAATAAAACAGAAAAAAGTAAAAGGTTTGAATACCGCCCAGCTTCAATCACCCAAACATAAACACACTGACCTCTCATTGAAGGTGGGTTTGCTTTGAGCTCGGTCCACCCCTGACGGCTCTTCCCCAGCAGGACTGGCTGCCTGCAGAGCACACAAACACATACATAATCATGATAACAAGTCACAGATTAACATTCAGAGAGATTCAGATTGAACATAATGAATAAATCTGAAAAAAATAAAACAAAATTGAAAAATATGGAGGAGAAATAAACGGCTGAGAACGAGTGGCTGGAAGCTAAAAATCGAGGAAGCTCCAGAGTTTTGATATTAATTTAAAAATACTCGACTTAATGTATTTAATTGCAATTTGAAAGAGAACAAAAAACAAAAGAGATGAATGAAAAAAATATGTGAAGTGATGAGGAAAGGAGATGCTAATTTGATGGACAGAATGAAGGCAAGCAGGGAGTGCTGTTAAGCAGTAATAAATAAGACTACCAGTGGGCATGGCAACCAAGAGAGAGAGAGAGGTGTTAGGAAAAAGGTGTATGTTTGCCAAGAAATTTATTTATTTATTCATAAAAACATGGAGGTTTCATTAAATGCATCATTGTATGTGCTGGTTTCAGAAATATTGAGAGGTGAGAACCATAGTGAGGATTTGCTGCACAGTGAAGAAGCAATCAACACTACTTGCATGTCATACTCTTGTTTGTTAAACCACAAACAGTAGCAGTGTTTCACCTCCAAATACCACATGCTTTTTGTGAGTCCACAGATATGGAACTGAAATATTACTATCTGTATTTTTTTTTTCCCAACCGACACAAAAATGTCTGGACTTTCTACATAATCCAAAAAAGATAATGATTATTGTTATCTGGGGAACAATAAAAACTCTTAACTGTATAAACACGTAACTTATTTTTAAAATCAAAGTTCATGGACTTCATTTTATGAGCTTCATGTATGCAAATATTGTGGTTATTTCAGTGTGGGCAAACACTGCAAGCCCACATTTGTGTAAACATATGGAGACAAATGCACGGGTCAATAAGGCTCTGTGTTAGTACTTGGTACTAATGGACTCACAGCATGACCTTCAACCTTTAACTCTCCACTGCTCAAGCTGACATATGACCCACTCCAACTGCTGAAGGAGACCAGACGCAAGGTGCCCTTAACTGAAAGTAATATATATATATATATATATATATATATATATTTTTTTTTTT